CCTTTCCCTCTCCTCTCTTCCCCTCCATTCACTCCTTCTCTCCAACCTTCTTATTCTTTCCATCCATTCCTCCCTCCCCTCCCCCTCCCTCACCATCTCCCTTTCCTCCTTCCCCTATTTTCATTTCGTCCAATTTCTCTTCAAGTGTCTCTCTACTATTTTCCCCTGGGGTGATCCCGATTGACCACGGCTCGATTGGACACCACCAATCACAGCGACCGGTGCTTAGGAGCTTTGTAGTCTCAAGCGCTGTGAGTGGCTCGTGTCCAATTGAGCCGTGTCTAACTGGGTGCCACCCTTTTCCCCTTTTCCCTCTCCCATCTTTCTTCCCTCACCTTCAGCTCCTCTTTTATCCTCTCCATTTCCTTTCTTATCCTCTCCATTTCTCTACTACCTCTCTGAACTCTTTTCTTACTGCCATCAACCCTTCTCTCATTTCATCTCTCATCTCCCTTAATAGCTCCTTCATTCCCCCCTCTTCCTCCATTCTGACCGGCGACCTTATTGTTTTTTTACTATTCCTAAATGCCTCTTCTTCCTTCCCCCTGCCAACTCTCTCTTCTCTCCTTCCCTCTTCCTTTTCAGGAACTTCGTTAGCTCCCATGTACTTCCTCTCCTATCCTTCTCCAACTTATTAATCCGATCCGTCATCTATCTTCTCTCTCTCTCTCTCCCCTTCATTCTCACCTTCTCTCCCTCTTACTTTCACTATTTCGCTCTCTCTCTCCCTCTCTCTCTCTCTCTCTCTCTCTCTCTCTCTCACTCATTGTCTTCCTTCCACACCGTCTCTCAATCTCTCCCAAACAGACCTTTCTTTCCGCCTTTATCTGCTATATCTTCTATCCAAACTCACTTTATCCCACCTTATCGTCTCCTCGCTACCTCCCAACGCTCCTCACACTCACACCAGCTCCGTTCCATAATCTCAACCCCTTCTTTCTCTCCTACCTTTCTCGCCACAGCCCTTTTCCTCCACCTCACCCCAACTCTCCCTACCTTCCCTCCACTCCCTCTCTCAGATCCGCCCACAACCTCTCACTCATGGTGGAAATACGTAAGGTGAGTCATTCCGACGGATGCGCAGTAGCCCGAAAGTAAAATGGAGCAGATAGCCAATCACATTTGCCCATTTCTTGAAAATAAAAAATGGCTGACGATATGGTGTCATTAGAGATAACCTAACCTAACACGGGTGGCACCCAGTTGGACACGGCTCAATTGGATACGAGCCACTCACAGCGCTTGAGACTACAAAGCTCCTAGGCACCTGGTCGCTGTGATTGGTGGTGTCCAATCGAGTCGTGATCAATCGGGATCATCCCACCCACGGTGTAAGAGTGCCTGTACATGCGGCGTACTTTGCGTAAGCGTAACCTGCGTATGCTAGTAATTTACTAGAAGTTACGCCAGTTTAAAAGTACCTCATTCACATGGGGCGTATTTCGTAAAATTCGCGTAAAGCATAACCAATAATTTCATAAAGCTAACCAATGACAGATCAAACTTTCTTTTGTACAATAGAGCAAAAATACTAAACGGCTCCTTTATTGGTTGTTATTATTTAGGCGTATTGTTAAATACGCGTCATGTCAAATGGGATGTGAAAGCGCGCATTATCCGTATCTTATATGAAATAAGATTGTAGTAAATAACAGTGTTCATAATCTGTTGTTAATCGCTGACATATAATATACTCGTATACCAAATAAAAAGTTGAACTGCTTTAATAATCGAATAAATGCATCATATATAAAATAATCGTTACATTTAATTTTTTTCGTTAGTTATTGAAAACGTGAAGGTAGGGAAGGTTATTTATTACAATATTTTTGTCATATATTTTTCTAGTCCCCTTTTTTTAATAAAATAAATTTTTCATTTTCTTTGTATTTATTAGTAAATTTATTTACAGAATTCGTTTTCCAAGAATTCATAAAATTCCTTGAATATAATGAATTCTAACCTTGTATCAGTAATTATTTGCAAAAAAAGATTATTGGCAAGGAAGATAAAACTAACGTTACGACATCGGAAAGTTGGCAAACGGAATATATTGGAATTCATTGCACTATGGAAACTTCTAATGAAGTATAAAAGAGAAGGAAACCAGAGGATGTGGGTTCGTCCAATATTTACACAATTACAAAGACATTTACAAGGAGATAGTTTAGCCATAGAAATGCAGCTACAAGACCAAGAAATGTTCTACAATTACTGTAGAATATCTGTAGAACTATTCGATCAATTACTGAGTATTGTTGGGCCTCTTATTGAAAAGCAAAACGTTGTTCGAGATCCAATATCGGCTCGCACACGACTTTTAGTATGTTTGCGTTACTTAGCTTCCGGTGACAGTATGGCCTCAATATCCTATGCACTTAGAATTGGAGTAAGCACTGTTTCAAAAATTATTTCTGAAACATGCGCAGCATTGTGGATTACTCTTCACGAATCTGTTATGCCAGTACCAAATGAAGAATCTTGGTTGAGAATCGCGAATGAATTTGAGAGAAAATGGAATTTCCTGTATTGTTTAGGTGCAATAGATGGAAAACACATTGTAATTCAGGTAACATTTTTTCCGAAATATATTTGTTATTTATTTGTATCAAAAAGTGTTAGAATAATTAATCTATAACAATTTTTTTCTATGCCTTTTAGGCACCACCTCATAGTGGATCAGTATATTATAATTACAAAGGGACTCATAGTATCAACTTGTTAGCAGTTTCGGATGCCGATTATTGCTTCACACTAGTTGACATTGGAGCTGAGGGTAGACAAAGTGATGGAGGTATCTTTGCGAACTCAAAGTTTGGTCAACGATTAGAAAGAAATAAAATTAATTTGCCGCAACCAAGTGCAGTGGAACCTCCTTTACCATATGTGTTAGTGGCAGATGAGGTATTCGCTCTGAAATCATATGATGCGACCATATAATCATATATGATTACTCCACTTTCAGCATCAGCATCTGTTAACGAACTCACTGTCCTAAAATTTATTAATGAATGGGTCACAAACTGCGCAATTTATAGTCGAACAATATGTACATATGTACATGTGATTATTGAAGAGAAAACTTACAGCCGTGTCTGCAATGAATCGTCCAGGAATCTCATAAGTTCATAATATTGAAATTTCGACTTATTCTCAGTATTAGCAGCAGTAGCTGCGGATCCACTAGATATGTATGCCCGAATCTTCTTACGGGCTTTTATATAATTATCTCGCAGATATTTCCACCGAGCCTGTAACGTCCGGTACGCTATACTATAGCACTCCGGCCGTCTACCAAGCGAACGCGAGCAC